CGAGGTCGAAACTGCAGTCCACCCTGGACGAGAATAACTTCTGGGAAAGCAAGACAATGTGAACTTCAATGGAAACTCATATAATTGTGGAAAAATTCTTCTACCAGTCCTTCATCACCTTAAACGAAATAGGGTGAATACATCTATAATTTACGAAATAGCACAAAAATATACTAGCACGAGACAGCAGTCGTCCCTACGTGACAATCCTCCTTCGGATTTCGCTGTGACTACATCACGAATCCCTTCCAACTAGTTTTTCCTTCGAAATGAAAAGTCATGTCCCCAACTATTACTAAGGAATTCTTCGAAATCCAGTTTATATTCAATTCTTGATTAGCTTTCTAAACTACCTTTTCACATTCTGGACGTTCTTTGTTTTGTTCATTTCTATCGACTCTCTAATCTTCCGCTTAACTGTGAAGTGCCCATATCTGGCAAAATATTGGGCCATCTTCGATTTAGGAATCCTTAAACCTTTGCATGCGGTTCTGTGTTCTGATAACTCTTGCCGACAAGTTCCACCCCCCCCATAAATACCGCCACATGTTCACAAAACTTTATAACAACCTGATGTACAAAGGACGTCTGAAAATTTCTCTAATAGAAGGCATGACCGAGGAAAGCGTTATTATTTCTTTGTGCATAATCCTGACATTCCATTTCCACAGTGATTCGTCTATCTTTTTCGAAAGTTGGCAGGATGGAAACATTGAGAGCTTAAACGAATATTTGTCTAATTCACCGTTTTGTGTTAAGCAGTGGTTTTTATCTTATCATATTTCCTAGTATTTCTACATTATTGACAATTAATCCTAACAAATAATTTGTCTCAACTAAGATTTTTCTTAGTTTTCCTAACTCTCGATACTTGCGACTTACGTCCGCTAGACGCAAACTCCCTACTAGCATTGATTCCATTACTCCTTTATTAACAATCTAAGTTTAGAAGTCGGTTGACCTTGTTGTCGCAACCTGGTCTTGCGTTCAGGGAGACTATGTAGAACGCACCTAGTCCGAAGTCGTATGCCATAGTAGTTGTCATGATTCCCAGCATCAGACAGTGAACTTGGTACATTGTAAAACGTTTCCCCGGTATCGTAGTCGGCATCATCAGTGAGTTTTGTCATTCTCTGCACCAAGCTACAAACTCGTCATTCCATCGACAACGGTTTTGCCGAAAACGGTTAACTAGCACTCCTCTTTCTGTCCTGGCGGTAGTGGGATAAGAGGGTAGAGAGTAGATAGATAGGCCAAAACTCACTGATGATGCCGACTACGATACCGGCGAAACGTTTGAGAATGTACCAAATCCACTGTCTCATGCTGGGAATCATGACAACTACTATGGCAGACGACTTCGGACTAGGTGCTTTCTACATAGTCTCCCTGAACACAAGACCAAGTTGCGACAACGAGGTCAACCCACTTTTATAAATCGAAAGGAGACTGCGACCCTAACAGAGGCCACAACATCTTGGTCTTCATATCTTCAATCTAAGTTTAATTTCGGAAAAAAATTATTAAAACTCGCATTTGTGAGTTTTATTTATGCAACCTACCCAACTTGCTCCCTTCTTTAATAACTAGGACAGCTAAATAAGGTAAATTATTGTCCATTGTGAATTCCATCGTCTTAGCTAATCCGTTCGTTAGGAAATTTTCCTGGCTCTAATCGCTGTGCTATCAGATGGCAAAGTAATCATCCATATATCTGACTAATATTTTTCGAACCAGAGGTGCTTCTTGAAAGAGCCGTTTTTCTAAATGAGTCATACAACTATTGGCTAAAACTCGAGACAAACACGATTATACACGTAAATATCCGGTTTACTCATATAAATTACGATTAAAGGTGAACTATGTATTGTTCATTATTAAGTTAGTCAATATCATGATTAACTCCTTGCTTATCATAATTCCCGATATAATCCCTGGGTGTTGATCTCATGTTAATCACAAAGCATGTATGGCTCCACTTACTGGTTTATTCGCGTACATCGTAATTGCATTAAAACTTACAAGCAAATCTTTTGCTATATTATTTGCTCCTCCATCAGATTAATAAATCCTTAAAAATTGCCTATTGGAAAATGCCCAAAACTTGAGATTCACTTTAAATTAACACAGATAAATTGAGATGTTTTATGCCTTACACAGCCCTTATTGATCACAATGACCTTAAGTGGAGCCTCTTTGTGAATTATGGGCATACCATGTGTATATGGGATTCTTCGCAATTCAGCTTCCCTTCATCATTCTGAATTTTAAGGTACTCCAACATGAAGCAAGTTAGAAGTTGTGCTAATGAAGGAGCTATTAAGGATAGGGTATGGTTATGGGTACCAGGACAGGAGTGTAATCACATTGGTTCAGCGGAAAGTTGGTTAATTTGCCTATTTGACGAGCTAATGTCAAATTACATGTACCAAATCCACGGTTTGATGTGGGATATTATCATGATTGCTAAGACTCACGTCTCCAGATATGATTCATTTCTCCTGGTCGTTATGACAGCACAATCAAGTTGCGAAAACGAGCTTCTATGATTTCTATGTAACAAAAGAAGACCGCGGCTAAACTAAAAGCCGAACCATAGTGATCTTCATACCTTCATAGAATTTATATTCCTATAAGTGCCTTTTCATGTGTAAACAAAGGTGTGAAAACACAGTGGTATTCTAGTCAGATCGGCTTACGAATCTGTTTATTAGATAGATAGCCAAGATTTTATATAAAATAATGTTATTCGGCCTCCTTATTTTTTGCAATTTAACAAATCGAAATCGAGCTAAGCGTTCGACAGTAAACCTAAAAACCCAGACGTTGTGACCTTCGGTGTGACAGTACTCTTACTTCACGTCATCAAGTCGGCTTGATCTCGCCTTGACAACTAAGTCGTGCTTTTTCAGCACGACTTCGACGAAAGTGCCCTGTACTGCCATCCCAACCAGTGTTGTCATGTCGTCTTCTAGCTCCGGACTGTTGACTTGGCACACTCACACAATGGGCAATCTGAGAGTGGAAGAAGGCGTGACGATCAGTCTGTCCGAGGCTGGAAAAGTGTTGGAGGAGAGGCGACATGAGAGGCCTTCAAACCGAAACTCGAGAAGTCAAGTGGAGGTGAGAGGTGTGAATGAGTGTGCTTTTCTTCGGCCGAGCTCACTAGTGAGAATCATACAATCAGACGGTAAGTGAATCAAGTCGAGGCTGGCGATGTAGAAGGAAAGCTGGTCCAATTTCATATGATCATCTCAACACCTCTTGTTCCGAGGCCGAGTAAAATCTAAGTTTGCTTTTATTATCATTCTTATCATTACGGATGGCGGCTTAAAAGTAAAAAAAGGCAAGATTGCCTAAAATCTGTTGGTTGCGATTTTTCGGCCAAAGCGTAAAAAGTGCTAACGAGGCCGGAATGCCTACCGGCCCAAGGGCGAGAGGGACATGGCGCCGACATGTTCAGCCCGACGAGGAGGAGGGATCTCGCTTCACGAGGGCCTGCAGTACAGACAACCAACTCGCATGTCTTAGGCGGTGTCGGTACTGGCGTTTTCCCATTCCTCACGGCCACGAGTAGTACTGGACACACCTACAACGGCACTTGGGCACCGTCGAAATTGGCGGTCTGCCTCGTCGCCAAGTTAACTTGCTACATCCGGCGCAAGTGCGCCGGCAAGTGCGAACGTCGGTGCTTTAAGATACCACGTCCGAATCGGATGCCTCTGAGCCGAAATTCCACCCTTTCTCTGTTGGTGTGCATGTCTGTCTATTTGTCCTTGGGCATGCATGTATGTCTGTCTGTTTCGAGGTCGTCTCAGTTGTTGTCTCTGGGATTGTGTGAACACGCTTTGGCCTGTGTGCGTTGATGAGCCCCTCGTTAACTTGCCTTACGAATGCATAAATAAGCATTCTTTCATGGTCCATGCAGAGTTTTGAGGCTTTTATTCCCATTTCTTTGCCCTCCAACTGCAACGACGCCAAATCCGTTTCTTAGGCCATCCTTTCGTTAGAGTCTGCACAAAAGAAGGCCCTCATAAACACAATGTCACACCACCCAACTTTTTAGGGTTTATGTCTATGACCAGAAAGGAGGCAGGGCGGCCAGTCTGTATAGACCAGATATGTAAGTTGGTGTTTAATGGTTGGTGGTTGGATGAGGAATTCAGTTGATTCACCCCTTGACACAAGGCGAGTGTGTGCATGTATGTGTGTGCGTGTGTGTGGTGGTGGTGGTGGGGGGGGGGGGGGCAAATGGGT